TTTATAAACCCACCAAGAAGATTTTGTGTAGGTTAAAAGAAGCAACCCCACACTTAACTTTTCATTATTATATTTATATAAAACAATGTTAATGGCAACCAAATACAGACAATAAACAATTGTTACAGAGAGAAAATTGAATCAAACGAAAAACAACTGTTACAAACAATAAACAATAGGCACGAACAATTATAACAAAGGAAAATCGAAGAATCTAAGACAATTGTTACAGAGACAAAATTGAATCAGACAATAAACAACTGTTATAGACAATAAACAATAGGCACAAACAACAATGGGCACGAACAACTGTTTATAGACAATAAACACCCACTTCAGACAAAATCGAAAAATCCAACTAAATAGTAGGCTCGAACAACTATAGCAGAGGAAAAATCAAAGAATCTAATGTTTAGTTCAAAATGAAACCCTAGATCTTCTCATTGACTAGAGACGATGAAAAAATAAGATTTCTCCAAGGTTTACAGACAATAAACCTTCACTTGACTAGAGACGGCGAAAAAATAAGATTTCTCCCCCTACGACAGTGAAAAGAGGCTTTCTTCTCTAGCAATGGCGGGAATAGATCTTCTTCTTCAGCGACAGCGACAAGATCTTCTTTTCTGGTGACGATGACACTTGCTTTTCCTCTACATTCAGTGTGGCATTGGTGCGATCTTTGATAGAGGACACTGGGATGGATTACACGAAGGATTTCGGTTGGGTTTTAGGCAGTGTTTAGGGTTTCAGGCAGAGTTTTACACGAGAGTTTTTTTCGGTGGGTGTCTATTTTCGACATTTGGAAAATGTTAATTTGAGTTATGGAGTGCATTTTCGTCAAATGACATTTTCTGTTAGCTGAGTTAACGGGGAAGGGGGTCTTTGTCTCATGGTCATAGTACAGGGGGGTCTTTGCTTGGCTCATAGTCGAGCTCGAGCTGACCCAAGGTCGAACTTATGAGATTTTGAGCTGAGTTGAATTCAAGGTCAAGTCTCTAGTTCGAATCGAGTTCAAGCATAACATTGTTTTGGCAAGTCAAGCTCGAATAGCCAATTATTTGGCTTGGCTCAGCTCAATTCCACCCTTAGTATTTACTAATGGCACACACACACGGAGGGAGAGAGAGAGAGGGAGAGAGAGAGAAGCATGTATCTAATTATGAGAAATGTCATATATATATATATCAATGTATCATCCATTTAAAATATATATTTTTCTAAACCAAAATAAACAAAGAAGAAGAAAGAACAAAAATGTTCTCAAAGGCTCTTTTAAACTTAACACATGGATATTAGATCTCTTAATCTAATTTGATTTAACTTTTCTAGTTTTATTTTAAACCAATTTGGCCTATGTCTTATGAGACTGCATCAGTTGAGGTGGATCATGACTACATTAATTTCTAGTCATCATAAGAAGGAAAAACAAAGTGTAGGTTATCTATATTAAAGGCATACTTTGATATGTTTGATATGTATGGCAATATGAGAGAACCAATGGAGAAACTTTCCAACCAAGCCTATAAAAGGAAATACATATTCAATTATTTTGTAAGCTTTTTATTGTATTTTATTTGTTTATTACATCTAAATCGATTTGTTGTGGATTACAAGGTTTTTTTTTCTATTAACGATTTTTCTAGTTTTCTAGGGTTCATTACAAATCTTAGTACTTAAATTTATTAGCATTTATATGTTATTTTCTAAAGTTCAGTGATTCATTAATTGGAGGATCACAAGGGAGTGATGCATCTCAAAAAATGTGCACCAACTCAATGTCTTGTAATGAGGTTTTAGCTAGGACTAGCATAAGACAACCTTGTCATGATATTCGTACTTTTTAATAAATATTTCAGTAATTAAAATATTAGATATTAATTTATATACTAAATTTAATTAATATACTCTTGATATTAGTGTATATACTCTAGATTTGTGTCTACAATGACCAAATAAAAATTGGAGAAATTTTCACTTTGGAAGTATATGCCAATATATATGATTTTGTTTTTAAAATGAAAACAACTTCTTTTTGTTAGTTTTCAAGAGATATAAACTTGAAACGACAACAACCCCTTCTTGACCATTTTTATGATGAATGGCAAAACTTTGGGGGTTCAACTATGATACCAGAAATTTTTTGTAACCAATCAATTGGTATCATAAAAGTTGTAACTAATTAGGTGGCATTTATCAAAATAACCTGTGTTTTGGACCGGTCAAACCTCTTCCAATATTATACCTTTCTAGAACTATAGATCTTCCTTGAAATTTTGATAGCCAATAGCTATTGTCTTGACAAATAACATCCTTTGTTATTTTATGAATTTAAGAAAGATTCATAATTAAATCCCTTTAGAAATAAATTCACCTAAAATATGTTGTTTCTTTTGATAAAAAAATATTTACTGTTTAAATTATAACCCATGATAGAATAGGAGATTTTTCTAGAGTTTTACATCATTTTCGTATGAATCTCCAATACAGGGTCGATGGGTTGCTACTTCAAATCCATTGCTGTTATCGTTGAAAACAATAATAACAATGTAAGCGAATCAATTACAACAACACTCTACCAAATAGCCATTCATCGTTTAACCCACTAATTGCAAATGGTAAGAAATTTCCATGGTTTTCAAAATTGGACCGGACCAGACCAGAAAAACTGGGAACTGGTCACCTGACCGGTTCCATTTTTTCCAGAAAACCGGATTTTTCCCAAAAACCGTTGATTTTAATTTGGTTAGCAAACCACTGACCCAGGCGGTTAACCGTTCGAATGGTTTTGACCATTTTTTATTTTTTATTAGAATGGACCGACCGTTTGGTTCAAATGGTTGGACTAACCGATTCGGGAACCGGACCTCTGACCGGTTCGTTCTCTAGGTCAATTTTAAAAACCTTGGAAATTTCCTTTGAATGGTCATGTATTATTCAGCTGAAGTATAGCTTTTACATCATTGTTTCTCAAGGGGTTGAAAGATTTTCCTACTTTTTGCCCTCTTACCATTACCTTGAAATTTGATTTGGCATATTGCTTTTTCTCCATGTTTGTTTGGGTTGAAGGGAGTCAAGAAAGCAAACGGTGAGCCATTAAGTTTAGTTTTGATATTTAAAAAATAAAATAAATAATTCAAAATACTCTTTTATTAGTTTTCACTTTTTATTAGAGATCGATAAGGTTAAAGGTTTGACCTTGTGCTAATCAGTGGACATGGAAAATTCTTATTGAAATCCAATTGCATGGATCTGAACTACTTTATAATTGATGACTGTTTTATTTCAATCAATAGAAGTAACTTAAAAAGTGGTATTATTTCCTAGAGAAATAAATGCTATAAATGTTGTAAGTGATTGAATTTTACATCATTGACCTTCTTTTTCAAGTATGAACATCTTTAAATGTATGGACAATTTCTGTTAAGAAAAAGTTCTATAAATCTTGAAAGCACATTCGTGCTTTTTATAGTTACATGAAATCATTAAAAATACAACAAATCAAAATTAATACCCTCATGGATCTTCATTATTTCTCATAAAATCCATATTTACTCTTTAATAACATCATTTTTCTCTCTCTCTCACCTTAATAGTCTATGTTTGTAACATCTCCTCTCCCATTAAATCCCTCTTTTTCTCTTAAATCTCTTTTTAATCTCTTTTGGATATATCTAATAAAGTAGGGGTATTCATTAGATGGATTGAGTTAGGTTAAGGGCCAATCTAAATATGAACCCTAGCTTTGACCAAAGCTAACGTCAAAACCCAAATTTGCCCACGAATACATGGGGTGAACCAATTTTCTTCTTATATAAAATTCTAAAGAAACTATTTGTCTTTTCCATGGGTTATTAGGTTTTCTCTTATTTTATTAATTTAATGTAGATTTGTTTCATAGATTCTTATGATTCAACAATAAAAAGCACTTAAAGATGAGCCTTTAGTTATCTTTGTTAGTTCAATTTTGATTTTTTTTTTAACTTAGTTATTGATTTCATGTTAAGCACATTTTTTTTTTGCTATATAAAAAAGAATAAGTTTGAAACTCAATATCTAAAAAGGAAAATAATTTTTTTCTACTATTTTATATGTAAAGAATTAAAAATATATAAAAACTTTGATGAATCCCTATTACTTAAATTTTCCCTTAAAAACAAATTTTTAAAAAGCAGCTCATGCATCACAGGGTCACTGCTAGTATTTTAATGATTTAATTTAATTCAAAATTAAATATGCACATATAAAAATAAATACATATATATGGGCTGAGCCGCTTGGGCGTTGGTCGGACCCTTTCAAATTCTGGAAAAAGCTTAGCCCGAGCCCGGCGATGAACATCTCTACCAAATTCTAGCCGGAGCTCACGTGACGTAACCAAGCTTTTGAAAAGAAAATAAAATCTGCTGCTAGCTTTGTGGCCGCATGCTATCCCAATGAAATGGGAATGGGAGCACATCAGTTCATCGGGGTCGTATATAAATACAGTAGCAGCGGCATGGCCGGTGCTGGCTCTGGCTGGAGCCTGGACCCATTATCCTGTTGTCAGCGTGAAAAATTCTGCAGCAACAGTTGTCACATGCGACCCCAACGCATGAGGAGTCCTTCGAAGGCAACCGCACCAACAGGGTGACTGGGTGTGGGTGATTTCACTGGTCCACGTAGCCGATATGCATGCCACATGTACCACCAATCTTTGCTTCATTTGCGCCATCTACGATCTACCGTCTTTGAATTTTTTTGCCTTGATAAATTTGTCAGGTTTGGTGAGAATATAAGAAGATATTAGGGGTAGCTTAGTAATAATAGTGGCTTATGGTTATGGAGAAGTGAGGCACGCACACGCAGTGCCCACTGGTACACTGTAATCTGTATCACTATCAAACTCACACGCTCCAGTTGAATTCACCGCAGCCGCAGGATCCATGTGTGTCCCACCGGGGACGTCTTATTAATTAATTAATTAATTAATTAATAACCCCACTGGCTCTGTTTCTGTCCTCGTCTCTCTCTATTTTCTGCGGGGTTTTATGGTATTGGTATGGGTGGATGATGTTAGAATTGGATCCGCCATTCATCGACATCAACAACAAAAAGAAAGGGGGGAAAAAGAAAATAGAAATTCTTCCTTTTATTTGGTTCTTGTTTGCCTCGTAAATTCTCTCTTGATCTCTGTTTTTATCCTTTGATCACTATCGAAATTCGCCGTAAATCAGAATCTTCGTCTGGTGAAGCTGGTCATTTAACTATGAGTAGCGGGGATCTTATCAACATTCAACCCCACGAGCTCAAATTTCCATGTAAGCAGGTCTTGTCCTTCGATTGCCATTGCCCGATCTTCTCTCTTACTAATTCATCATTTATCTCTTAATGATGAATGTGGGTGCTTCTTACTTTTCTTTTCTTTTCCCCATTGATGAATTTCTTGCCCTAGATCCTCTGTACTCTCAATTTCTTAGTTCAATTTTGTGTTTCTAATCCTCTTGCATGTTCTTTTTGACTGCCTTGTATGTCTTGACAAGTTGAATTGAAGAAGCAGAGTTCATGTTCTCTGCAATTGACAAACAAGACCGAACAATATGTAGCCTTCAAGGTACTTATGCTTGCATTCTGTTGTCATCTCGCCGTGTGATTTCGTATTTGTTAATCTAGGTTGTAATGGTTGAGCTTGATACTTATTTTACTTGATCATTTCTGCAAAATGGAAGGTTAAAACAACTAACCCCAAGAAATACTGCGTGCGACCTAACACGGGAATAGTCCAACCTGGGACAACATGCGATGTCACAGGTGACCTTCAATCTCTAACCTAAACTAGTTCTTCTTCTTCTGGACCTTTACTATTGTTTTGCTTGTTAATGGGTTGTAAGTTTCAACCAATCGTTTGTTTGCTTTCTTGTTTGCTCTTCTTATTGATCTTGCATCCTACTAGTGACAATGCAAGCGCAAAAGGAGGCCCCATCTGATATGCAATGCAAAGACAAATTCCTCCTTCAGAGCGTTGCTGCTCCTCATGGTGCGACCACAAAGGATATAACCCCAGAGATGGTAGGGTGTTTTTTCTTTCCTCTTATCCATTTTGTTGGTATCTTCTTTTGGCCTTTTGTTTCTGGCAACTCATAAGTGGCATAAAATGATTCCCCAGTTCAATAAAGAGGCTGGGAAGGTTGTGGAGGAGTTCAAATTGAGGGTGGTTTATATTCCCGCTAATCCTCCCTCCCCTGTTCCTGAAGGATCTGAAGAAGGATCTTCTCCTAGGGCACCTATCCTAGAGAATGGCAACCAAAACATGGGGTTATCTGAAGCTGTAAGGCTTTCTTATTATTGTTGTATCCCTGTTCCAAGGGCATTTGATACTTATTCTGTTTTGGAATTTAACCACCAATTTGTTATATTATTTCCCTCTAGTTTTACTTTTTTCATTGCACTTTTTAAATTTCAGACAACAAGATCGGTAGAGGAACAAAAAGAGAAATCTTCAGAGGTAAAATTGATTATTCTTTTACTTTCAGTACATGCATTTAAAAGTTGATTCTCCTTGTTCAGTATCTCTCAGTCCTACTGGTTTTGGCAGAGCTCTTGTTCCTCTTTTTTTTTATTATTTTAACTTTTGGATTTTACTACACTTTTTCCTGTGCTTTCATAACTGAATTTTGGTCCATATTTGCTCAGCAAGTTAATGCATGTTGACGTTGGACTTTATAGTATCTTGCACTTATCTGAGATAATTTATTCACATGTAACTCACATAACAGATTTCCTAGATCATAGAGGGAAGCCAATTCTTGTTTGATGTTCCTTCTTCAAGATTAGTCCTGTTTTCAGGAAGATACTGTATATGCAAAAAATGAGATTAACAATTAAGTTACTATCCAAAAGAACAAGTAATAAGAGGGTAGAGCCATAGAGAGCATAAGGAATTGAAACTTCAACTAAAAGTGATTATATTGGAATTTCATAAGATACAAGGTAGGTTTGCACTTTGTTTTTTCAGTGGTACAATCCTTCATTCTAGCTTTTTTTCAACTTTAATATGGTGAGGAATCATGGCTAGCAAATTTTTGTATCATGTGAAGATTACATGCATATGTTTCTTTGAAGAAAACATCCTGAATTGTGAATTTTCAAAAAACACAAAAAATGCGAATAATTTGGGAACATGTATACTTTTTGAATAATATGGATTTCAAAATACAGGATAAAAAATTGGGAAACTTTAGTTTTTAAGTCATCATCATGCAAGCCTTATCCCAACCATATGAGGTTGGCTACATGAATCCTTTTCGCCATTTTTTTCTTTTTAATTATTCCAACTATTAGGGATGTCAACTTTCCCCATAAAACCGGGGCCTGCCCCACATGGGGCGGGTTTTCCTTGATCTTAAATGGGGACTGGGTGGGGATGGAGAAATTTTTTTTTTCCCTGAATCGGGGACGGGGCAGGTACAAGGTTTGAGTATAATTCCCCAAACTCACCTCGAACTCGATGGTAAATTAGTAAAATATCCCTAGATTTAATATTGATTTTTAAAATATGTCCAAGTTTTTCTCAAATTCTTGAAATCTTAGGATCCCATTATTCCATTTATAAAGTACTCCCAAATCGTTATAATCCAATTCCTAAAATATCCTCAAATTCCTATAATCCTATTTGTAAAATATCCACAAATTAGATTATTTTTAGGTGGGCGGGGAAAATTCGGGGATTTTCGTCCCTGACGAGGAGTTGGTGCCTTGCCTTGAACCCTCCCCGCCATCGGGGATGGGGTACAATGTCTTGACTATGGGGCAGGGGCGAGGATAGGGAGGGGGTGCCTTGCCCGAACTTGCCTTGTTGTCATTCCTACCAACTATATGGGGTCAACTACATGAAATTTTGTTTTTCCAATCCATTCTATTTAAATCCATATGCACCATTAAATTATTAGTGCATCATTTCTTAATACTTCTAACCATGTCCTTTTTGGTCTACCTCAATCTCTTCTAGCCCCTTCAATGTGTAACAAATCGCTTTTTCTAGCTAGTGTAGTTGATGGTCTTCTTTGCATGTGCCCAAAGCATCTTAGTCTAGTCTCTCTTTATCACCTATTGGAGCTACTCCTAGGTTCCTATAGATAACTTCATTCCTAATCCTATCCTTTCTAGTTTTTTCACTCATCCATCTTAGCATTCACATTTCTGCCACACTCATTTTTGGACATGTTGTTTCTTGGTTGCTTAACACTCCGCTCCATACAACATAGCTAGCCGCACAACTGTTTTATAGAAATTTCCTTTTAATCTAAGTGGTATTCGCCTATCACATAAAAAGTCTAGATGCACCCCTCCGTTTTTCTCATCCTTCTCTAATACTTTGGGTGGCGTCCTTCTCAACTCTCCCTTGTTATGGATCATTGAACCAAGGTACTGGAAATGGTCACATTGAGTTATCTCTTTGTTTTACTTGAATAAAAATAAATAGAACAAAACTGTGGTCTGATGTAATACAAGAAAAGAAATGAAACACAGGCTTTGAAGAGAAGAAGAGAGAGAGAGAGAAGAAGAGAAGAGAGAAAGAAAGAAGGGGTTCGGTTAGATGATACTGCTGCCCCATTAGAAATTATATATATATATATATATATATGTTTGTATCCTTACAAAGGTAGGAGTTACTCTAATACCCCTACTTAAAATTATAGACCTACAAAGCAAATAATAAACAAGGCCCATCCGACCCAGCTGTAATAAGAAAAGAAATAAACAAAATAAAAATAAGTGTGGGGCTGGAACCACACACACACACACACTAAAACTATTAACTATCTCTATACTCCCCCTCAAGTTGGGAGTAGATATTTGTCATTCCCAACTTGCATAAATCTGACTCCAACTTGTTTTTTGTGATTGCTTTAGTAAAGAGGTCAGCTAACTGCATGTTTGAGGCAATATAAGGTAAAAATAGCATAGTTCCCCTAAGTCCTTCACTTCAAATTCCTTGTGAAGATGCTGTTTAAGAGATTCAATCTCACTAGTACCACTCCCTGTTATCACAATGTCATCCACATAGGCAACAAGTAGGGTCAGGGAAGAGTCTGTCTTCTTAAAGAAGAGAGTGTGATCTAACTGAGCCTGTATGTAACCAAATTTGTCCAAAGCTAGCCTAAACCTATCAAACCAAGCTCTTGGAGATTGTTTCATCCCATATAAAGCCTTCTTCAGTAGGCAAACTTTCATTCCTTCTTCTGTACTGTAAAAACCAGGGGGTAACTCCATGTATACCTCTTCTTGCAAGTCTCCGTTGAGGAAAGCATTCTTAACATCCATCTGAAATAGTGGCCATGAGAAGTTCGCAGCAATGGATAGTAGGACTCTGATAGTGTTCATCTTTGCAACTGGTGCAAAGGTTTCCATATAGTCTATGCCATAGGTTTGTGTGAATCCCTTTGCAACCAATCTAGCCTTATACCTCTCTACAGAACCATCAGCATTATATTTCACAGTAAACACCCATCTGCATCCAACAGGTTTCTTCCCCTCGGGCTAATTAACTAGTTCCCATGTGTTGTTCTTAACAAAAGCATCCATCTTTGCTTTCATTGCTTCCTTCCACTCAGGTATCAATAGAGCTTCTTGCACTGTTCTAGGTGTAGGAATATTTGCAATAGATGCCAGGTAAGATCTATAGGATTCTGAGAGACAATCATAGGAAAGAAACTTGGAGATACAATGGCCAGTGGATGAGGTACAACGACGCTTCCCTTTACGAATTGCAATTGGAAGATCAAGTTCATCTGAAGGAGGAGGCTGAGGATCAACGGTGTCAGGCAAAGTATCTGCAATAGTGAGCTCAATAGTGGAGGCAATGGTAGTGTCTGGATCTGGGGCCGTAGAAGATGTTGGGATTGGCTTGGACTGCTGCTGAGGATGGGAATCAACCTGCCTTCACCACTGTCTGTGATACACTCTCAATTCCCTGCACTTTTGACAACCCTCTTCACAACACACCCCCTCATTAACCGGGATAGGTAAAGGGACTTTGGGTCTGAAACTGAAATCACTTCCTCATTACTCTCCCCCTGAGGAGAAGCCCTATGATAGTAGGGCATATCCTCAAAAAAGGTGACATCCATGGACACAAAACGTTTCCTTGGAACATGCTCATAACAACAATATCCCTTTTGATTTTGTGCATATCCAAGGAAAATACATTTAGTAGCTTTGGGATCAAACTTGGAGCGGTGAGGTCTAAGGATTTGAACAAAACAAGTACATCCAAAAGTTTTGAGGGGAATAGTGAATGGGTCATTGTCTGGATACAGAAGGCTGAATGGTGTTTTCATGGCTAGAACCTATGAAGTAACCCTATTAATAAGGTAAACAACTGTACGGATTGCATCCCCCCAAAAGCATATGGGAACATTAGAATTGAGCATGATGCTTCTGGCTACCTCTAAGATATGTCTATTTTTTCTCTTAGCAACCCCATTCTGCTAAGGTGTACGAGGACAGGTGCTTTGATGAATGACCTCATGATCTAGGAGATATGATGCCAAGGGTTTTGCAAAGTACTCCTTGGCATTATCGGATCTAATTTTGATCTTGGTTTGAAACTAGGTCATAACCATCTAATGGAAAGCCTGGGCCAGAGAAGGGACCTCATCTCGAGAGTGTATAAGGTAAACCCATGAGAAGCGGGTATAATCATCAACAAATAACAAGAAATATTTGCACCCCCCCCCCCATGGTGGGAGTGTGATATGGTCCCCAAACATCTGTATGCACAATTTCAAAAGGAAGGTTGCTTCTTTTATTACTCAAAGGATAAGTTGATCTATAGTGCTTTGCAAGTTCACAACTTTCACACTTCAAACTAGACACTTGGACCAACTCAAATACATTTGGAAACAAACTCTTCAAAGATCCAAAAGACAAATGACCTAATCGATTATGCTAAAGCATAATCTGACTCCAAGACTGAGAGACAAACAATTTCCCAACTTCACTCTGCTTCCCTTGTGGATATTCAAGCAGGTAGGCTTCATTCGTCTCACGGCCAATCCCTATCACCTTCTTCATTTCCAGATTCTAGAAAACACAACGATAAGGAAAAAATGTTACTGAACAACTGAAAGCAACTTAGCACTAAGCTTAGGAACATGCAAAACTGAGGATAGGGAGATGGCATCAGACAGTCTGATGTCTCCCTTAACTAGAAATTGGCACAAGGGAGCCATCAGCAATAGATACTTTGTCTCTTCCAGAGGATAAACAAAAGTAGATAAACTGGTCATGGTCTGAAGCACCTGAATCTATTACCCAGAATGGTCTAGTGTTACCTGGGGCAGAAGCATGACATGCTGTAACTCTTGTACCTGTGTGAGCAAGGGCTGAAGTAGGATGGGCAGATGTGGTACCTAAAGGCTGAGATGTGGTTCCAGAAATACTAGCTTCATTCTCTAGTTGTGTCAATGCAGCCCGGACAGTAGCTAAAGCATCCAAGGATGT